ACAGCCAGCTCACATTGTCTAGGGATTGTCACTCTGTCTAGACCAAGGTTACGGGGCAACTAACCACACTGTCTTGATATGATGGATCTGTCTAGATAGAGGTTAGTGGCACAGCTGGCTGTCACTCAGTATAGACTTTTTCACTTTGTCCAGATAGACTTTAGTAGGGCAGTCAGCTGTCTAGACACCATCAGTCTATGTAAATGGAGGTTAGTGGGAAAGTTGGCGAACACTGTTTAGATATTTTTAGAATCTAGAGGGTGGAGTGTGCTGGCCAGGTGACAGCACTTGGGAAGATTTATAAACTGCGCAGGTTAGGTTTTATTTATTAGCTCGCCACTCCCATCCACCATTCCTTAACCAGATCTAGCTATGGTTACAGAGGACGGGATTCTCGCTACAACCTGCACTTGCTGTCTTCGGGTGAGATTGTCTATTTTATTGCCTGCGTCGTGGTTTTGTTCAACATCGAGGAGAGGGCACAGCGTCACTACCTCAAACACACCGACTGTGTACGCTGGTAAGATGGGGAGCTGTTGGAGGGAATGGACTGGGTGACAGGGCAGGTAGAGGTGTCTGTAATCCTGCAAAACGGTTCAATGTACAATGTGAAGTCTGTGGAGTGAGACAGTCTCGGACCAGGAGGTAGTTAGTGATTGGAGCGGTGGCTTGTGTGGCGGAGGTCTGTGGCTCAAGGTCGGAATTGGATTGAGGAGATTGTAGAATCAACAGGGGTGAGTGGATGGGTGTGGAGCTAGTCTCTGTGGGACTAGGTAGGGGTTTGGGTGTGTCTGAGAGGGGAAGGGTGAATAGGTCTGTCTCTTTACTCTGAGAGAGGGATTTGGGGAAATTCAATAGGCTGAGAGTAGCAATGGGGGCAGGGGAGGCTGAAGGGAGTTTGGGCTATCTGTAATCCAGGAGGAGACTTGGGATTCTTGATGATGTCTCTACAATCTGGAGGGTGGTTGGAAGTGAGAGGGAGGAGGATGGAACTGAGGGATCTGAGAGCCATGATGAGAGGGGTGGAGTTTGGAGGGATGAGGGGTAGTGTGTGGAATATCAGCAGGATTTTGAGGATTTATTAGATTCAGGATTAATAGACCATGCTGCTTTTCACTAGTTTGGCTGTCCACCCGGATAAAGTGCGGATCGCATCGGGACAGGCAGCTGGAGTCGATAAGGATGGCAAGGTAATGAGTGAAGTTCCAGTAGCCGCTCAGGCTGTGGGAGACAGGGGTTGTATTTAGTCGGTGTGGGTTGTTCAGTTACTGTGAGTAGACAGTCTGACTGTTTTCACATCTCTCACCATCACCTCCAAACTAAAAATGTATTCTCTGCCCTCCCCCAGTCATGGGGCTCAATCAGAGTGACTACACCAGTGTCTCTAAACAATCACTTCATGAAAATGACCTGCAACATCTCAGTCATCTCTGATCCTAACATACGCATAGTGATGCTGGATCATGTTACAGTTCATACTTTGACATTTATTCTGGTGAGAGAGCCACTGAAGATCAAGGAGGAGAGAAGTATAGAGGACATGGGGAGAGAGACAGAATGGGCAATAGAGAGTTAGGTAGTGAGTAACAGATGCAGTGGCAACTAGGAGAAGACAACACTGGTGGATTAATGCATGCCCCCATAGCTGTGCTGTAGGACAGAGAATAAATCAGAAGGTGGCATAGACATGTAAAATAGGCAGTACTTTAATTGTGGGTGACTTTAATCTTTACGTAGATTGGGAAAATCAAATTGGCACAGGTAACCATGAGGAAGAAATCATAGTGTGTATTCAGGACAGGTTCCTTGAGCAATCTGTTGTGCATCCAACCACGATCGGACTGGATTGGGAATGTGTAATGAGGCTAGTTTAATAAATGATCTAACAGCAAAGATCCCCTAAGGGAACAGTGACCATAACATGGTAGAATTTAGCGTTCAGTTTTGGCATGAGAAACATAGGTCCGAAACAATTGTGCTAAATAAGGGTAATTACAAAAGAATAAAGTCAGAGTTGGCTGCTGTGGACTGAGAGATGTGTTTAGCAACATTGACAGACCTTTAAGAAAATAGTTCATGACTCACAACAAAGATATATCTCATTGAGGAAGAAGGATTCTAAGAAGGGAATAATCTGACCATGGTTAACCCAGGAAATTAAAGATAGCGTCAAATTGAAAGAAAAAAAACAAATAATATGGCAAAGATTATTAGTAAGCCAGAGAATTGGAAAAAATTTTAAAAATTGACAAAAGATGACCAAAAATATAAGAAAGAGGAAGAAAATAACCTTTAAGGGCAAACCAGCAAATAATATGAGAAAGGATAGTAAAAGCTTCTTCCTTCAAAAGGAAGGGAGAGGCTAAAGTAAAGAGGTCCTTGAGAGAATGGGGCTGGGAAAACAATAATGGGTAACCAGAAAATGGTAGAGAGGTTGATTAAATACTTTGCTTCAATCTTCATGGTAAAAGACACTGATAGCAATGTAAATATACTAAATAATCTAGGGGCATAACATGGAGAGTAAATAGACAAAATAACTATCACAAGAGAAAAAAGCCTAGGGAAACTAATGGAATTAAAGGCTGATAAGTCCCCTAGACTGATGGGTTGCATGCTAGAATTTTAAAATGAAGATAGTGAATTCCCTGGTTGTAATTTTCAAACATTCCTTATATTCTGGAAAAGTCCCAGATGATTGGTCAACTGTCAATGTGATGTCCTTAGAGAGAGAGGGACAGAAATCAGTTAATTATATGAGCCAGTTAACCTAACATTTATCATTTGGGAAAATGTTAGAGTCAATTATAAAGGAAAAGGGGAGTATTTTCAAGATGGCAATCTGCCACACGGATCAGTACTGGGATCACAACTATTTACAGAAAATTCTTTGTATCTGAGAAATCATGCATTTATCTATTAGCACCAAAATATAAGTAGCAACAAAACTCAACATTCGTGGGCAAAGCTCGTGATTTTTTAAACTTATTTTTAATGAGCTCTGCACTTGCGAATTTCGTCAATCGTGGAGATCCTCGAGGAACGGAAATCTTGCAGATACAGAAGAATAACTGTACATTAATTACTTGGATGAAGAAAGTGAATGTATTATTGCAAAGTTTGCAGATGACATAACAATAGATGGGAGGGGAGCTGTGAGGATGACACAAAGGTCTTCAGAGGGATATAGACAGGTTGAGCAAATTGGCAAACACTTGACAGATGGAATATAGTGTGGGAAAATGGGAGGTTCTGCACTTTGGTTGAAAGAATAGAGGAGCTAAATATTATTTAAATGGAGAAAGACTGCAGAAAGCTACAGAACAGAATGATCTGGGAGTCCTTGCCCACAAATCACAAAAAGCTAGTATCCAAGTTCATTGGGTAATAGGAAAGACAAATGGAATGTTAGCCTTTGTTTTAAAGGGAATGGAGTATAAAAGTAGGTAGGTTTTAGTGAAAACTGTACAAGACACTAGTCAGACCATAGCTGGAATACTGTGAACAGTTTTGGATCCATTATCTAAGGAAAGATATACTGGCACTGGATGCAGTCAGAGAAGGCTCTCAAGGTAATACCAGGAATGGAGGGGCTGTCTTATTAGGAGAAGTTGACTAGATTGGGCCTGTACTCATTGGACTTTAGATTACAGTGACTCTTTTGAAATGTGTAAGATCCTTAGGGGACTTGACAGGGTAGATTGTCCAGGACCAAAGGGCATAGAATAAGGTGTCACACATAAGACAGATGAGGAGGAATTTCTTCTCTGAGGCTAGTGAATGTGTGAAATGCTTCACTGCAGAGGGATGTTGATGTTGGGTCGTTAAATATATTCAAGGTTGAAATAGTCAGATTTTTAATCAAGAAGGGAATCAGGGGTTATGGGGAAAAGACAGGAAAATGGAGTTGAATATTATCAGATCAACCATGGAATGTGGAATGTCAGAGCAGATTTGATGGGCTGTATGGCCTTCTTTTGTTCCTGTGTGTTACGTGACTGAGAGAGTAAGGTGAGAGGATGGGGAATGAATTATTGGGGTCAGGGAGGAAGAGGTGTGAGGCAGCTCTACTGGCCACGTTAAGATTGATTCTGGTTGTTGTGTTCCTCTTTGCAGCTCCTGTTGCCTTGTGTCCACATCTGGGACTCGGTGACTTTACAAACACTGCAACACATTGGCCTAGGCAGCTTTGAGAGAGGAGTCGCTACACTCGCTTTCTCCAAGGCTGTAAGTCCATCATCCCCATATTCCCTCCCCTCCTACTCCATTCCCTCCCCTGCTGCTCAACTCCCTCATATTTCCTCCCGTCCTCTCCTGCTCCATTCCATCATATTCCCTCACTTCCTCCTCTATTCTTTCCCCTCCTCTCTCTCTCTCAGTTCCCTCCTGCTGTCCTCTCCTCTCTGGAAGGTGCCGACTCTTTTGTAAGTGCTTGCTGCTCCTCTTCACAACCTACCAGTGATATTTGGATCTAATTCAGGACCTTTCACGCATACAGTTTATTTGGTCCCAACAATGAGGAATGTAGTGTTCCCCGCTCGAATTCCCCATTTGGGGCAACACTGTGTGTTGCCTCAATGACTACGTCCACACTGTGCCAGTCCATTTTAAGATCCACTCCTCAGTTGGACTGGGAACAATATGTGGTCCTTGCCGATCGATGTACAGTGTGGTGGCTGGAAGGGGACTCTCTCCAAAGATTTCTCATTGTGACTGGTGTGAAACTGAGTGATGCTGTATCCTGCAGTTTCCCTACTCTCTCACTTTGGATCAGACATTAAACTGAGAATCCGTCTGCATTCTTGGGAGGTTGGGAGGGTGTGGGTGTAAAAGATCCGACGCCACTATCGGAAGAGCAGAGGGGAGTTCTCCTTGGGGGTCCTGGGGCCAGTATTTATCCCTCACCGAATATCGCTGTAAACAGTTGATCTGGGTCATTCTCCATTGCTGTGTGGGAGCTTGCAGTGTGTAAATCAGCTGCCGTGTTCCTACGTTACACCAGTATATTTCAAAAACACCTCAATAACTGAAAAGCATTTGGGACATATCCTGAAGTTACAAAGCTCATTACAGCATTTTCCTCCTCTTCTATCGCCTTCCCTCAGCCCTCCCCTCTCCTTTCCCTCATCACTCCTTTACCTCTGTGACCCCTTGTCACTCCCTCCCCTTGTCACTTCCTCCCCCCACCTTGTCACTCCCTCCCCTCCCCATCCCCTCATCACTCCCTCCTCTCTATGTCCCCTCGTTACTCCCTCCCTTGGGCATCTTTCTTCTGAGAGGTTTCCTGGTGACCGGTCAGGGAGGCTCATGCTATTGTTTGATATTGCAGGATTCTGGTGCTTTTCTCTGTGTGGTTGATGATTCCACTGAGCACATCATGTCCATCTGGGACTGTGCCAAGGGCACCAAGCAGGTGGAGATTAAGGTAGGTATTTTAAACTCTAGAAAATGATGGGCAGGGAGGCTGGGATGGGTTCTTGTTAGGCTGAGGATTAAAAGGTGAATTCCTTTGAGGCAGTGACTTTGTAGTGGAATGAACTCTGCATGCAGGGTTGATGTATATCCAATATTAACCACAGTGGGACGTGGGGGACCTGGAGCATATCTATGTTAGTAAGCCACTGCTTTGTGGAGCTGGAAGGTGCTCCAGCCTTGATCACTTTCTGTGAGTCAGGGGTTTTGTAAAGTGATCAGCCCCAACCTAAACAACAGCCAGTGGAAAGCCTGTTGGGTGTGTGTATTGGGTAGAGTGCTGGCCTGCATGGCCCTGGCTACTCACCAAGTCAGAGTAATGCTGGAGGGTAGGCAGGCCTACGGGAAACCTAGCATTTGGGGTGCGGATGAACTATGATTTAAAATACCGTCTTCTACACAACTCACTGTGAGGACTGTGTTTGAGCTGTTCTGGATCCAGCAGATTCTGACTGCTACCTCCCATTACAGAGCAGTAATGACAGTTCCTTTAGCCAGGTTGTTCCCAGACACAGCTAAATATTATGGAGAGATGAAGATGAACATGGAAGTTAGGTCACGTTCCTTTTCAAGATGTGAGGGAGCTATTTGCCATCTGCATTGTGAATGGGGAAGGGTCTGGGATATTGAGGATGGAGTCAGTGTGGTTGCTGGTAATACAGTTCATACTGAGTGAATGAGAAACCATTTCCACTAAACTAACGACGTTGATTGTACAGAATTGACAGAGGGACCAGAGCAGGGAAAGAGAATTGCCTTTTTTGACACATTGAGTTGTTGTGATCTGGAATGCCCTGGAAGTGGTTTCATTAGGAACTTTCAAAAAGGGAATTACAGAAATAATGGAAAGCGTATGTTTTCAGTGCTATTGGGAAAGATTCGAGGAGAGTGGGCCTATTTGGGTAGATCTAATAAAGAGCTGGCATAGACCCAATGGGATGAATGGCCTCCTGTACTGTAGAATGCAGTGTTTGTCTCTGAACTGATGTCAGATGTTAATCCCCACTGTATTCTCACCCTGACAGACCACCAATGAGGCTGTGTTTGAGGTTGAGTTTCACCCAGCAGACAGCTCAAGTGTGGTAACCTGTGGCAAGTCACATGTCTACTTCTGGACTTGGACTGGCTCCTGTCTCACCAAGAAGCAGGGCATTTTTGGGGTGAGTGATGCAAGACCACTGTCTGACTAACAGTTAGTTACTCTCTATTGTGTCAGTGCCGTGAAACTGTACTCTCCCAATTATTTTTATTGTATATATTATTATCCCAGTTGTTTTTCGGACTGGAGACCTGTTATCAGCAGTGTTCCACAAAGATCGGTGCTGGGTCTACTTTTGTTGGTCATTTTATATAAATGATTTAGATGAGAATATAGGAGGTACAGTTAGTACGCTTGCGGATAACACCAAAATAGTGGACAGTGAAGAAGGTTGTCTAAGATTACAAAGAGATCTTGATCATTTGGGTCAATGGGCTGAAGAGTGGCAGATGGAGTTTAATTTGGATAAATGTGAGCCATTGCATTTTGGTAAAACAAACAAGGGTAAGACTTATACAATTAAACGTAGGGCCTTGGACAGTGTTGTAGAACAGAGAAACCTAGGGTTCAGGTACATAATTTTTTGAAATTTGCATCACATATAGATAGGGTGGTGAAGAAGGTATTTAGTACGCTTGTCTTCATTGCTCAGACAGTTGAGAAAAGGAGTTGAGACATCATGTTGAGGTTGTACAGGATGTTGGTGAGGCCTCTTCTAGAGTACTGCATCCAGTTCTGGTTGCCTTGTTATAGGAAGGATATTGTTACGTTGGAGAGGATTCAGAAGAGATTTACCATGACGTTGCTGGGAAAGGAGAGTTTGAATTATAAGGAGAGGCTGGATAAGTTGGGACTTTTTACACTGGAGCGTAGGAGGTTGAGAGGTGACCTTATAGATGTTTATAAAATCATGAGGGGTACAGATAAGGTACATGGTAGGTGTCTTTTCTCTAGGGTGGAAGATTTCAAGACTAGGAGGCATATTTTTAAGATAAAAGGTGAAAGATTTAAAAAAGACGTGGGCAATTTTTTTTCACAGAGAGTGGTTCGTGTGTGGAGTGAACTTCCAGAGGAAGTTGTGGATGCGGGTACAGTTAAAACATTGAAAAGACATTTGGATAAGTACACGAATAAGAAATGTTTGAAGGGATATGGACCAAGCACAGGCAGGAGGGACTAGTTTAGTTTGGGGTTATGGTTGGCATGGACTGGTTAGACCAAAGGTTCTGTTTCCGTTCTGTATGACTCTATGACTCTATAATTAGCCACCGTTCTGGTGAGTTCAGACTGTGCTTTCTGAACAATCATTTTATACTAAGCAGCTGGTGTGCTTGTGAGCTCAAACTGTACTTTCTAAACAGTCACTGTATTAACAAGGAACTCTGTGCCAGTGAGCTCAAACTATACTCCCTAAATATTCACTTGTACTAACAGGCTATTCAGTACAGGTGTGTTCAGATTGTATGCTCTAAACAGTCATTGTTCTAACAAGGAGCTCTGTGCCAGTGAATTCAAACTGTACTATCTAACCAGTCACTGCATACTAACTGGCACTTTGTACTGGTGAGTTCAGCCTATACTCTAAACGGTCACTCTGTAGCAGATCCCAAGAAAAGGAATTTGTGGAATGTCTACCAGATTTTTTTAGAGCAGATTGTGGTAGAGCCCACTAGGGAACAGGCAGTTCTGGATTTGTTGATGCGTAATGAGGCAGACTTGATTAGGGAGCTGAAGGTGAAGTAACCCCTAGGGTTCAGTGACCATAATATGATAGAATTCACCCTGCAGTTTGAGAGGGAGAAGCTGGAATCAGATAGAACGATATTACAATTGAGTAAAGGTAACTACATTGTCACGAGGGAGGAGTTGGTCAGAATTGGTTGGAAAGGGAGCCTAGCAGGGAAGACGGTGAGGCAGAAGTTTCTGAGTAATTCGGGAGGCACAGCAGAAATTCATTCCAAGGAAGAAGAAACATACTAAAGAGACGATGGGGCAACCATGGCTGACAAGGAAAGTCTGGGGCAGCCTAAAAGCAAAAAAAAACATACAGTGTGGTGAAGATTAGTGGGAAGCCAAGTGGAAAGCCAGTGGTTTGGGAAGCCTTTTAAAAACCAGCAGCGGATAACTAAAAAGCAATAAGATGAAATATGAGAGTAAATTAGATAATACTATAGAAGAAGATTCAAGAGTCTTTTTAGATATATAAAAGAAAGTGCAAGGGTGGATATTGGCCCACTGGAAAATGACACTGGAGAAGAAATAATGGGAAACAAAGAAATAGCTGAGGAACTGAATAGGTACTTTGTATCAGTTTTCACAGCGGAAGACACCAGCAGCATACCGGAACCTCATGAGAATGGGCGGGGACAGAGTAAGTGTAGTGGCCATCACTAAGGAGAAGCTGCTGGGGAAGCTGAAAGGTCTGAGACAGATAAATCACCTAAACTAGATGGACTACACCCCAGAGTTCTGAAGGAGATTGTAGAAACATTGGTGGTGATCTTTCAGGAATCACTAGAGTCAGGGAGGGTTCTAGAGGACTGGAACATGGCTAAAGTAACAGCCCCTAGTTAAGAAGGGAGGGAGGCAGAGACAAGAATCTATAGATCAGTTAGCCGGACCTTGGTCATTGGTAAGATTTTAGAGTCCGTTTTTAAGGATGAAGTTGTGGAATACTTGGAAGCGCATGGTAAAATAGGGTGAGTCAGCACGGCTTCGTCAGGGGGAGGTGATGCCTGGTAAATCTGTTCGAACTCTTCGAGGAGGTAATAAGCAAGTTTAAAAAAAAGGAAATCCAATGGACGTGATCTATTTGCATTTCCAGAAGGCCTTTGACAAAGTGCTGCACTGGAGGCTGCTAATAAAATAAGAGCCCATGCTATCAGGGACAAGGTATTGGCATGGGTAGAGGATTGACTCACTGGCAGAAGGCAGAGAGTAGCGATAAAGGGGTCTTTTCAGGATGGCAGCTGGCGACTAGTGGAATTCCGCAGGGATCAGTGATGGGACCACAACTATTCACATTATATGTTAATGATCTGGACAAAGGAATTGAGGGCATTGTTGCTAAGTTTGCAGGTGGCACAAAGATAGATGGAGGGGCAGGTAGTGTTGGGGAAATGGGGAGGCTGCAGAAGAACTTGGACGTGCGAGGAGAGCTGACAAAATGGCAGATGGAATACAATGTGGGAAAATGTGAGGTTATGCACTTTGGTAGGAAGAATAGAGGTGTAGACTATATTCTAAATGGCGAAATGCTTTGGAAATCTGAAGCACCAACAGACTTGGGAGTCCTAGTTTGGGATTCTCTAAAAGTTAACATACAGGTTCAGATGGCGGTTAGGAAGTCAAACGCACTGTTGGCATTCTTTTCAAAAGGGCTAGAATACAAGAGCAGAGATGTACTGCTGAGGCTGTAAAAGGCTCTGGTCAGACCGTATTTGAAATATTGTGAGCAGTTTAGGGCCTTGTATCTAAGGAAAGATGAGCTGGCATTGGAGGGGGTGGCAAGAGGAGGTTTATAAGAATGATCCTGTGGATGAAGGACTTGTCACATAGGAGTGGTTGAGGAGTCTAGGTCTGTACTCAGTGAGGTTTAGAAGAATGAGGGGCATCTGACTGAAACTTAGAGGCATGGATAGAGTGGACGTGGAGGTGTTTCCATCAGTATGAGAGACTAGGACCCAAGAGCACAGCCTCAGAGTGAAGGGACAGCCCTTTAGAACTGAGATGAGGAGGAATTTCTTCAGCCAGAGGGTGGTCAATCTGTGGAATTCATTACCACAAAGGCTGTGGAGGCCAAATTATTGAGTGTATTTAAGACAGATAGATAGGTTCTTGATTAATAAGGGAATCAAGGGTTACATGGAGAAGGCAGGAGAATGGAGCTGAGAAACATATGAGCCATGATTGAATGGCAGAGCAGACTCAGTAAATTGAATGGCCTAATTCTGCTTCCTTATCTTATGGTCTTATGGGAGAGACTGAGACCAAAGGGCAAAATCTCAGAGTAAGAGGTCACCAAGTAAGGACAGAGATGAGGGGGACTTTTTCTTTCCCATTGAGTGTGGTATTGGAATTCTTTACTACAGAAGGCTGTTGAGGCTGGATCCTTAAAGATATTCAAGGCTGAGATAAACAGATGTTTAATCAGTAAGAGAATCAAAGGTTATGGTGATAAGGCAGGAAAATGGGTGTTGAGGATTTTCAGATCAGGCAAGATGTCATTAATGACAGAGCATAATAACCTATTTTTTCTAATATGTCTTATCCTCTTATTTACTTTTTCTTCTATGTCTTATCCTACTGCTGTGACCATGCTGCAAATTATTCTGGTCCATACCACCCTCATAGTTGAATAGTTCCTGTAACCCATGCGCTGCCCTGGCTCAGCTGTGAGGAACTGGAAAGCTGGTGAAACGACAAAGTGATACAGTGAGGAGAACTGACCTGTTGGTGATTAATGCAGTGGCAGGAAGCGCGAGTTAGCAGCTGAATTTGTTTCCTCTTTCATCTTACAGAAATACAAGAAACCCAAATTTATTCAGTGTTTTGTGTTCCTGAGAAATGGGGATGTGCTGACTGGTGATTCAGAAGGAAATATCCTCCTGTGGGGTAAAGCAGCTGCTGACATCAAGACACTGGGCAAAGGAGCCAAAGGTACTTGGCAGCAGGTCTCCACCATTGGGGTTTGCCCTGGTTTCTGTGAGGGACATGGACATTAAACTGAATTATCAGAGATGAGACAGGCACACTCCCCACAAATAATGGCAGGAACGTGTGTTTTACATATGGCATGGCTTCAAGCAGCAGGATGCAGTGAGTAGTTTGCTTATGTCTGTGGGAGGCATCTCTCACTTGGTGTGGAATCAGCTGGTGTGGTTAAGATGTTAATTTTTTAATAATTATCTCAGTCAGCTTTCTCCCTCACCTCTGAGACAAAATGAATCATAGAATCCCTATAGTGTAGAAGCAGGCCATTCAGCCCATTGGGTCCACACCTTCCCTCCAAAGAGCATCCCACCCCACCACATTATCACTGTAACCCTGTATTTCCTATGGCAAATCCATCTAGCCTGCACAACCCTTAACACTGTGGACAATTTAGCACGGTCAATCCATCTAACCTGCACATCTTTGGACTGTGGAAAGAAACTGGAGCACTTGGAGGAAACCTACGCAAACACGGGGAGAACTTGCAAACTCCACACACAGTCGTCTGAGGGTGGAGTCGAACATGGGTGTCTGGCTCTGTGAGGCAGCAGGGCTAACCATTGAGTCACTGCCCCTGCCCCCACCCCCCACACCCCCACACCCCCACAAACCTCAAAGGTTGTGGGTTAAAGATTTACAGTGGAGACTTGGACACAAAATCTGGACTGACAATCCCATGGTTATACTGACAATCCCAGAGCCATACTAACAGATCCCCACACTGTCGGAGGGTCAGCGCTGAGGGAGCGGGCACTGTCGGAGGGTCAGCGCTGAGGGAGCGGGCACTGTTGGAGGGTCAGCGCTGAGGGAGCACAGCGCTGAGGGAGCGCCACACTGTCGGAGGATCGGTGCTGAGGGAGCACCGCACTGTCGGAGGGTCGGTGCTGATGGAGAACCGCACTGTCAGAGGGACAGTGCTTAGGGAGTGCCAGTGCTGAGGGAGTGCCACACTGTCAGAGTCAGTAATATGGGAACTCCACACAGTCAGAGGGTCACTATCGTACCATCAGAAGTGCTGTGTTTCAGCTGAAACATTAATCTGAGACCCTCTTGTCCTCTTAGCTTGAGTAAAAATTCCCACAGTTACCACTGGAGCAAGAGCAGGGGGTATCTGTCCAGCGTCTTGGGGCCAATATTTTTATGCTCTCGCCAACATCACCAAATCTGCAGACCCCCCTGATCTGTTACATGGCTGATTGTGGAGCTTGCTGTGTTCTAGCAGTAACTCCACTTCCAAATAAATCACTGCTTGTAAAGTGCTTTGGGTTGTTCGAAAAGGTTGAGGAGTGTTGTAAGAAATCGAAGTTTCAATGAACATGTTGCAGGAGTCTCTCTCAAGTTTTCTGGTACTGTTTCAGAAACCTATCAGATTGCCAAGCAAACAAAGGCCCACGAGGGTAGTATCTTCACCCTCTGCATCATGAGAGATGGCACACTGCTCAGTGGAGGAGGGAAGGACCGCAAAATCATCCACTGGAACCTGAGCCTTACAACAGATCGAGAGACTGAGGTGAGGCAGACACACAGTATTAAAATGTGAGGGAGAGAGAATACCAGCAAGTGGGGGGAGGTAGGGAGTGGGTGAAGGAAGTGGCGAGTGAGGGTACAAACAGGAGAAGCAAAGCTGATTTGGTAAAATTAGTGATTACATTGGAGAAGTACTTCATTATTGGTGATGTTACTATTTGGGTTGTCTCAAGTCTTGAAAGAACAGCAGCGTTGCTTTGTATTGCAGATCCCCGAGCGATTTGGTGCTGTGCGTACTATTGTGGAAGGACGAGGAGATGATCTCCTGATTGGAACCACACGGAATGCCATCCTGAGGGGCAGTTTTACTGAGCCCTTTACTCCTATCGTGCAGGTCAGTGCAGAACACCAAGATTCTGGCTCATCCCCACCCCTTCACAACTCAGGGTGATCCATTGTATGAAGGATATTAAGAACAATAGAACCAGGGTGAGGGAACGGAGCTGAGATACAGATTGGTCCGTGAATTAACTGTTATGGAGAGGTGTTTCTGTGTGGTTATGCTTTGCGGTTCACTTGCAGGGTCACACAGATGAACTGTGGGGATTAGCCACACACCCATTCCGAGATCTCTTCCTGACCTGTGCGCACGACAGGCAGGTGTGTCTGTGGGATCAGGAGCAGCACATGCTGGAGTGGAGTAAAACACTGGAGGTGAGAGGGAAAACCATGCATTCACACTCTGCGTTAGAGGAACAGGACTGAGAGATCCTGAACCTTCGAGGAGGGGAAGGGGAAGCTCTCTTCACACCAAAGTCTGACTGTTGCCCCTGTCTGGAAAACCCTTCCTGGGAAGTACTGCTCCCCTCTACCCAATTCAAGGGCAGTTGGGGATGAGCAACAAAAGCTGACCCAGTCAGTGATTTCCATGTCCCAGGAGTAAATAAAGGAAAAGGTTTATGTCATAGTCATACAGCACAGAAACAGACCTTTCAACCCAACCAATTCATGCCAACCATGTTCCTAACATTAGTCCCACTTGTCTGCGCTTGGCCCATACCACTCCACATCTTTCTTATTCATAAACATATACAAATGTCTTTTAAACATTGTAACTGTACCTACATCCACCACTTTCTCTAGCAGTTCATTCCACTCACGAACCACTTTCTGTGTAAAAATGTTGCTCCTTATGCTTTTTAGAGCTTTCTCCTCTCACCTTAAAAAATATGCCCCTTAGTTTTGAACTCCCACATTCTAAGGAAAAGACCCTCGTCATTCACCTTATCTGTGTCCCCCATGATTTTATAAACCTCTATAAGGTCACTACTTAACCTCCGACATTCCAGTAAAAAAAAGTCCCAATCTTTCAGCCTATTTTTATATCTCAAACTTTCCATTCCTGGCAACATCCTGGTAAATCTTTTCTGAACACCTCCAGTTTAATAATATTCTTCCTATATCAGGGCAACTAGAACTACACACATTATGTGTTTCTATATTTCACTACTGCCTGCCACCCTATCACAAGAATGATCCTTTTGTTCTTTCCCCAATCCTGAGCCTACACATTCTGCATCTGTAATTGCTTGACCCTGATTAAATCTCCAACCTGTCCAAGTTCTGATCAGAGGTTACGAGACTAAAACATTAACTCTGTTCTTCCCCTCTCAGACTCCCCTTATGCTCTATCTCTCTCTCTCTCTCTTTCTCTCCCTTCCCACCTACCCCCCCCCCCACCCCCATCTCCCCACCACACTCCTTTCTGTCTCTCTCTCTCTGTCTGATTTTCTACTTTATCACAAGCAGGAATCCCAGGACTCAGTTTCTCACATTCCTCATCCGAAAGGTGAGAGGTGATTTAAGCAGCAGTCATGTTAATTTCAGCACTTGAATAATAGCAAATTTCTGTGGATGCTGGAAATCCAAAACAAAAACAGAAAGTGTTGGAGAAACTCAGCAGGTCTGGCAGCATCTGTGGGGAGAGAAACAGACTTAATGTTTCAAGTCCAATATGACTCTTCCTTAGAACAGTTCTGAAGAGTCATATCAACTCAAAATGTGAACTTGTCTCTCCACGGACACTGCCGAACCTGCTAAGTTTCTCCAGCATTCTCTGTGTTTTTTCTGCATTCTGGCACAACTAAGCTGGCATCGAACCTGCTCCCTGGTGTGTGTCCTTCTCCAGGTTACATCAATTGCCTGACTGATCAGAGAGTGGGAGTGATGATAGTGCTGAGAAAAAAGCTGCCAAACCTGCTGTGGCCACAGCTTCTGTGTGTAGTCTCACAACAGGATGTGAGCTCCCTCTTGTGGCAGAAGTGAGCAGTTTAGAATAGAATCCCTACAGTGGTGTGGAAACAGGCCCTTCAGCCCAACAAGTCCACACCGAACCTCAGGGCATTCCACCCAGACCCATCCCCCTATAACCCACCTAATTTATACCTCCCTGAACACTATGGGCAATTTAGCATGGCCAATCCACCCTAACCTGCACATCTTTGGACTGTGGGAGGAAACCGGAGCATCCGGAGGAAACCCACGCAGACACGGGGAGAACGTGCAAACTCCACACAGACAGACATCCAAGGCTAGAATCGAACCCGGGTCCCTGGCGCTGTGAGGCAGCAGTGCTAACCACTGAGCCACCGTGCCGCTTAGAACCAGTAGAATTGTTACAGCACAGAGGGAGGCCATTCAATTTCTGATGAAGGGTCTAGGCCCGAAACGTCAGCCTCTCTGCTCCTATGATGCTGCTTGGCCTGCTGTGTTCATCCAGCCCTGCACCTTGTTGTCTCAGATTCTCCAGCATCTGCAGTTCCTACTATCCCCGGCCATTCAATTCATTGTGTTTGTGCCAGTCGACCTAAGGGTCAATTCAGGTAGTGCTCCCTCCCTGTTCTTCTCCTCATACTGCTTCAAGTGTCCCTTTTCAGACATTTAGAAAATTTAGAATGCTTGCAGAAACAGGCCATTCTGCCTATCATTGGATGAGCTGGCCAAGAAAAAGCCATTCAGCCTGATCCTATTTGCCAGCCATTGGTTCGTATCCTGGACGCCACAGAGCTTCAGGTGCAGATCCAGACATGATTTCAATGAGTCGAGGGTTTCTGCCTCTATTTCCCCTTTCAGGCACCGAGTTCCCACCAACATTCAAATTACATGGGGTACTGAATGAATTTTTCCCTAAAAGCTGCCCAAACGCTGGCAAAATTCATCGGGGTGATCAATTGAGGAAATGGACAAAATCAACAAAGAGCTACTCCACCAATTAAAGGTTGGTTCTCACTGCACTTTGAAAGTATTTAATTGTGTGTCAAGTATTTAGTGACATGGTGAGGTTCCTGCTGTATGGCCTGTATGTTTAACGGTTCCACTAATTTCACAGGAGACTGGACTGTGTGCTGATTTCCACTGCAGTGGCGCAGTAGTGGCTGTTGGACTGCAGACAGGCAGGTAACTCCCACATTTTACTATCTGCTTATTTTCAATTCATCTCTCTGCATTTTCACTGTGCCAACTGACATCAAAAGGTCATGCATCCTGATGATTGACTTCAGTATGCAGGAGACAATTTCAAACTTCGTGGATGGCCTGAAACCTGACGCATTGTAAACTGTGCGGCGGACAGTGTGGAACTCCAGAAGGATGTTGATAAGTTGCTGGAGTGGGAAGATGCATTACAGCTGAAGTTCAATGTGGAGAAGTGTGGGGTGATGCATTTTATGTACAATACAATTCAGCACAGGAACAGGCCCTTCACGCCACCAAGCCTGCGCTGATTCCTAATCCTTATTTAGACCTGCTACTTATTGCCCATGCGCAGTTTCCATCCCTCTGTTCGCCTCCCGTTCATGTATCCATCAAGGTATACTTTAAACATTCCTAATGTGCCTGCTTCCACCACCTCCACTGGCAATGCATTCCAGGCACCCTCCACCCTCTGGGTGAAAAATTTTTCCAGCGCTTTTCCCCAAAACTTTCCCCTTCTCGCCTTGAACCTGTGCCCTCTTGTAGTTGACCTTTCCACCCTGGGGAAAAAAGCCTCTGTCAAAGCTTCTCATAATTTTGTAGACCTCTATCAAGTCACTACTCAGCCTCTGTTTTCCAGTGAAAACAATTCAAGTTTATCCAAACTCTCCTCATAACTAAAACTCTCCAGACCAGGCAATATCCTGGGAAACTTTCTCTGCACCCTTTCCAAAGCATCCATGTCCTTCTGGTAATGTGGCGACCAGAACTGCACACAATATCCAAATGTGGCCTAACAGAAGTTTTGTATAGCTGTAACATAACTTTTTGCCAACTTTTATATGCAATGCCCCAGCCAACGAAGGCAAGCGTGCTGTATGCTTTCTTGACCAATTCATCCATCTGTGCTGCCACTTTCAGGGTGTGGACTTGTGAGCCCAGGTCCCTCTGTATGTCGATGCTCCTAAGTGTTCTGCCATTTATTGAATAATTCACACCTGAATTTGATCTTCCAAAATGCATCACCTTGCATTTGTTCAGATTAAACTCCATCTGCCATTTCTCTGCCCAAATCTGCAATCTATCTAAAAACTGAAAGAACTGCAATGCTGTAAATCAGAAACAAAAACAGAAATTGCTGGAAAAGTTCAGCAGGCCTGGCAGCATCTGTGACACGAAATCAGAGTTAACATTTTGGGTCCAGTGACCCTTCCTCGGAATTGAGGAAGTTCTGAGGAAGGATCACCGGACCTGAAACGTTAACACTGATTTCTCGTCAGAGATGCTGCCAGACCTGCTGAGCTTTTCCAGCAATTTCTGTTTTTGTTTCTGCAATCTATCTATATCCTACCATATCCTTTGACAATCTTCCTAACTATTTGCAACTCCACCAATTTTGGTGTCATCTGCAAACTTACTAATCAGACTATCTACATTTTCCTCCAGATCATTTATATATATTACAAACAGCAAAGGTCCCAGCAATGATCTCTATGGAATACCATTAGTTCCTTATCTCCATTCCGAAATGCACCCTTCAACCCCCACTCTCTGTGTTCTTTGCCCAAGCCAGTTTTGTATCCATCTAGTCATTATCTTGTCCAACAGCTTCCCCATCACACTGACGTCAGGCTCACCGGCCTATAATTACTTGGATTATCTCTGTTTCCCTCCTTAAACAAAGGAACGACATTGGCCATTCTCCGGTCCTCAGTGCACAGATATCTGTTAAGGCCCCAGCTATTTCTTGCCTTGTCTCTCACAGTATGCTGGGATAGATCCTGCCTGGCCCTGGGGACTTATCTACCTTAACATTTTTCAAGATAAACAATACTTCCTCATTCATTGTGTTGACCTGATTTTGGTAGAAAAAACTTTGAAATACATTAGCAGATACAATTCTAAAAGGGGTGCAGGAGCAGAGGGACTCGGCTGTACGTGTGCATACATCAAAGGTAGCAGAACAGATAGAGAGAGAAGTTAATAATACAGTATGCTCAGCATTACTAAGAGGAGCATATTGTACAACAGCAGGTGATACTGAACTTGGTAAGAATTATGGAATAGATATGAGTGCATTGGAGAAAGGGCAGAGGACATTTACAAGAATGGTTCCAGGAATGAGAAACTTTAATAATAACTGGAGAGTTGGTTCTCCTTGGAGAGAAGAAGGCTAAGAGGAGATCTGATAGAGGTTTATGAAGGGCCTGAATAGAGTAGGTGGGGAAAAACTGTTCCTGCTGGTAAAAGGAACAGGAACCAGACAGAACAGATTTTAAATGATTTGCAAAAGAAGCAAATGTGCTCTGAGGGAAATAAACAAGTGGTTCCAGTCTGAATGCACTGCTTACAACTGTGGTGAGGATAAGTACAATTGAAGCATTCAAGAGGGGCATTGGACACTTACTTAAATAGAAACAAAGTGCAAAGAATAGGGGAAAGGTAGAAGAATGGCACTAAGTCATGATCAATAAAAACTGAAAGCACTGCGGATGCTGTTAATCAGGTACAAAAACAGAAGTTGCTGGGAAAGCTCAGCAGGTCTGGCAGCATCTGTGAAGAAAAAAATCAGAGTTAACGTTTTGGGTGCAGTGACCCTTCTGCCAAACCTGCTGAGCTTTTCCAGCAACTTCTGTTTTTGTAAGTGATAATGTTCATTTGATGGACAGCCAGTGCAGACACAATGGGCCGAATGGCAGCCTTCTGCGCCTTAACACTTGTGTAATTCTGAGTGGGGGAGTGATGGCTTTCATAGACATGAACTGTCCAATCACGGGAAAACTTTGAGATGTATTCTCAGTACAATTCCCTGTGTCCCTGTTACTAGGTCTGAATAGTTTCAATGCTCAATCAATGTATTCATTGTGGGATGAACCTCATTAAATCTCATTACACCGAAACAAGAAATTGTGACACACACTTTTGCTCTGTCTCCTCCCCTTTCTCACTTCAGCCCCTGCAAATGTTTTTTTTTCTTCTCCCCCACAGGTGGGTGGTTCTGGATTGTGAAACACAGGCTTTGGTTTCCAGTACTGTCGACGGGAATGAGCAGCTCTCGGTGGTACGCTATTCCCCAGGTAATCACATGTTGTGAACTGTCACTGATACCAACTGGCATTCTCAGCTATCACAAGCTTGCTGAGTGGTAAGACACATGCCTAGCAGCAACCCTGCCCTCCCCATGACCCTGAGAGCTTCTAACAGTCTTGGTGGGTTGATTTTTGGTAACAGACAGCAATAGGCTCACTGATGGGGAGATCAGGAGGATTTAGCATGGTTAATCAGTGTCCCTCAGGATCATCTCTAGTCAGTCTACCAAGCATTCCAGATGAGCCTCTGCAGCCTGTGTGCTTTGCCAGGGCAGGTGGTAGTGTGGATATTGCAGCCAAGCTTTACACTAAGCTGGATGCAGTTGTGACGAGCAGGAACCTAGATCACCACCATCAACAAGCTCTTCCAAAAACCAGTTGTTGCATGTGTATTAATATTTTATATTCCAACAGATGGTAATTTCTTGGCAATAGGATCACATGACAACTACATTTACCTCTACACTGTCAGTGAGAATGGTCGGAAGTATAGCCGGTTTGGCAGGTGCATGGTAAGACTCATGGTGGCTAATATCAATTTATATTAAATTTGAACTGTTCTGAACCCTCCTTTCCCTAATCGTTCTATTTTTTAGCTCTTTCCTGTCCTCTGTTTGAGAGACAATGGGTCCACACAGAGCTACCAAGCCATTTCTAATGTCTTCCTATGTCAAGCCCAGGAACATTGCCCCAATCTTTTATCCGATGTTTCCCTCCCCCATATTGCCACTTCTTGGATTGGGATCTGATCTGCTTCTTCAATTCACCACTCCATCTCCACTATGTGCATTCCTCACCATGTCCCTCTCACTGCCCTCCAGAGGCAGTAATAACTGCTCAGGATACCATTCTATGGGCACACTGAGGGTCTGGCATCTTGCCCTAGAGGTCTTCCTTCCTCGTGTAAGGCTAGGTGGGCAAGTGAAGACAACCAGGTTCATGACAGGCAGGAGAAGATGACCTCCTACTCAAAAAAAGTAATTCACAATAACGTGTCTTCACACAGAATGTACATACAGTGCATTTCATGTAGGGGAATGTCCCGAGCCTCTTTGTTGTCAAAGTTTCATTGACAAAGCTGCAATAAATCACGCAAAGAGGTTTTAGGATAGATAATCAAAAACTTAGCAAAATAGGTAGGTTTTGAGGGCCATCTTAAGGTTTTAAGTCCTGATGTGGGCCTGGCTCCTGAACTAACATTCGTGATGCATGACCCACACAGACTATGTTGAAGTGTTAAGTTCTGCATTAAATGAATGTGCGATGGTTGGTGTTGGTTGTGACAGTGACTCATCGTAACCCCATTCCTCTCTTGCTTATATTTAGGGTCATTCTAGCTTCATCACTCACCTGGACTGGTCTCAAGACAGCCACTTCATCATGTCCAATTCTGGAGACTACGAGATCCTCTACTGTAAGTACAGAAGCTTCCAGATTACCTAGGCTTCTCCTAAAAGCAGCACTGCCATGCCCTCAGACCCATGTTATAAAAGAGGGCAGGGTTTGGTGGCAGCAGTAACGGTGCCAGGCTGGGCCTCAGTAGCTCTAGTTGGAGTGTGGAGGAAGATTTGATGAGGCGCTCTGCTTTTGGTCTGGTTGTATATGTTACAGATATGAAATGTGGAGGTGATTGTCATATCTCTGAGAAGTCAGTATAAACAAGGGAGATGTAAACACTTACTAGATTAGGGAGGATCTCTTGTAGATGAAGCCTGTGTCTTAGTGAGTCAGTGGACTGTCTGTGTGGTAAGTAGTGAAGACTCCTTGATTATTATCCAGTCTGTTGAGTTTGTAAGTTACAATTGATGAAGGGACTTCAATTGTCCTCAGTCTCTGTGATATCAGCAGATTCCAAACAGACTTGAATGGAAAGAAAAAGGGAAACAATGTCTATTTGAACAGGCAATAACTGAGTAATTTATTCTTAGTGTTGGCATCCTGTTTTACAGGGGACATCGGGGCAGGATGTAAATTACTCAGGAATCGTTACGAGTGCAAGGATCTGGAGTGGGTCTCATATACCTGTGTCCTGGGATTCCATGTTTTTGGTAAGGATTATGGCTTTGGGCAATGGTGTGAGCTATGGGGAGAGTGTTCGAAGGAATATTTGAGAATTCTATAGTCAGTGGACAGCTGAAGAAAGTGTGAGGGCTATTGGAGCACCTCCCTCTTTAAGAAGGGACATAACTCAGTGCTGGGGTGAATCTAACACAAAATTAACCAACTCTGACTTTAGACTGCCCTAGTCATGGGGGCTCCCAAACCAAACCGCCATCAAGATGGGCTTCTGAAGCCAATGCTCTGCAATGAAGGTGAATTCACAATAAACTGTTACAGTCAACTACTTAGGACATGGGACCTTGAAGTGGAAATAGGCCATTAGGCCTCTCCAGCCTGCTCCCAATTCAATAAGATTGTGGCTGATCTGATTGTGGTCTCAACCCCAGTTTCCTGTCTATCCATCCAGTGTCTTCAGGATTTTACTGTTTCAATAAGATCATCTCTTGTTCTTCTAAACTCTAACGCCCATCCCACTTAAACTTTCATCTGAAAAGTAGCCCTTCATCAGAGGAATGAATCAAGTGAACATTTGCTGAACTGTTTCTGGTGCAGTTATGTCCTTTTTCAAATAAGGAAACCAAAACTATGCACAGTACTCCAGATGTGGTCTCACCAACACTTTTGACAGCTGCTCTAAGCTTCCCTTCTTTTATATTCATTTCCCCTAGCAATAAACATAACTAGTGCAGATGCACTGTCCCCTTGCACTGGCAAATATAAACCTGCCTAAGAAAAGGGACAGAGGATATTTACTGGGCAAACTAGGGATGAGAGACTTTAAGTAATGTGGAGAGACTGGAAAGTGAGACCACAACCAGTGGTGAAGGAGACTTCATGAGTCACATAGCCTGCACATGCTCCTATAACTATGGGAAAAGGAGTGGGGTGAAGAAAAGAGTGGGAATCATTGGAGAGATCTTTTAAAGAGCTGGCACAGGCGCAAAGATTTTATGAATTCCAACAGCCTTGGTCCATACTGCTAACTTTCAAGCAGTTTGAAAAGCACTGGGAGCTATTTCTTTTTTACTTTTTGTCTTGCCGCAGGGGTCTGGCCAGATGGTTCTGATGGAACGGACATCAATGCACTGTGTCGCTCTCACAATGAGCGCACCGTGGCTGTGGCTGATGATTTCTGCAAAGTTCATCTCTTTCAGTATCCATGTGCCAAACCTAAGGTCAGTCAGAGTCGGTTGATGAGAGACACAAAAAGATAAATTGCTGGAAAAACTCAACGGGTCTGGTAGCATCTGTGGAGAGAAATCAGAATTAATGTTTTGGGTCCAGTGACTTGTATTCAGAATGTGGGTTCTGAAGAAGGGTCACTGGACCCAAAACATTAACTCTGATTTCTCTCCACAGATGCTGCCAAACCTGTTGAGTTTTTCAAGCAATTTTCTGGTTTTTTTTCTGATTTCCAGCATCCACAGTTCTTTCGGTTTTGTTTTGTTCAGTTGTGGTGAGTGTACCTTTGCAAGTTCAGCATCATAAAAAGTGACTGGGGGGACCCCCCCCCCCCCCCCCCACCCCACCACACACCGCCTCAGTCCATCAGAAATCTGTCGATCTCAGTGATGAAAATACCAAAGCCTTTTGGAATTCGGCAGTTCTAGATTTCCAAAACTATTTATGTGAGAAAGGTTTGTTTTGTGATTTCTCTGGAATGCTAATGGATGAGGACAGGCACCCAGCATGATGCTTTTATCCTGTCTCTGCCCTGTCGAGGTGAAAGCAGACAGACCATTCCAAGGATGCGACAGACAAGCACAGAAGGGCTTAGTGGACTAATGTCACAACATTACTGAGTATTAGGATCCCCCCACCACCCGTCTCTCTTTCTCTCTGCCTGCACACAGACAGTCCATGTGGGAAGAAGCCAGTTGGCAGTGTTATCAGTGCAAGCTGCTGCCCCCAGCACTGCCTGCCACACACAGAATTGAGAAAGAGCCGGAAAGGGAAATGTTTGGATGACCACCGAAGATACCTTTCCTGTTTTGCTTATGTGGTGGAGACAGATTTTAATCCAGTTGCTGTGAGGAGATGCCTGCGCTGTCCTTCCACATATTAACCAAAGCAGCTTTGTAAAGGAAAGTGGGTATCCACTTCGCATTCACCCACCTACTCCACTGTTCCCCCTCCCCCACAGCCACCATTGGGTACTAGTATTATGTAACAACAGCAGGGACAGATGACACTGCAATCGGGCTGGACTGTGATGCCTTCCAATGTTGAATAAGCTCCTGGCACTGAGGGTCTGGGTCTGTATATATCATATGGTACTGGATATTAAAGGTACCATGGGTGGCCAGTTCCTGTGCAACTGTGCCAGGGTCAGAACGGAGCCTTTGAGAAGCAGAATAAAAAGCTGCATTGAGGCATTACAAACCACTTCTCTTCTGTGGCTGGATGCACTATAATGATCACTGTGATCATTTCTGAGCTGCTTGGGCAAAGGCAGACAGGAGCCTGGGCTTTTTAAATACAGGCATAGAGTGGAAAAGCCAGAATTTATGCTGAGCCTTTCTAAATCACTGGATTAGACTTCAGTGGGAGTATTGTGTCTAAAATTTTGTTCATTATTCCTTTAGAGTGTCTATGACTAGGCCTACCCCTTAAGAATAACCACAATGATGTGGGTCTGGAGTCACATGTAGACCAGACTGGATAAGCACAGCAGATTTCATTCCCTATAGGACTTTAGTTACAGCAGGATCTTACATCAGTTCACCCTGGTTACATAGTAACCATTAGCCTTTTTCAAATATTCCAGATATTTCTTGAATTCAAATTTTACCAACTGGGATTGAATCACAGAATCCCTACAGTGTGGACACAGGCCCTTTGGCCCAACAAGTCCACACCTACCCTCAGAGCATACCACCCAGACCCATCCCCCTTTAGCCCCCCTAATCTAGGCATTCCTTGAACACTACGGGACAATTTAGTCATGGCTAATCCACCTAACCTGCACGTCTTTGGACTGTGGGAGGAAACCAGAGCACCTGGAGGAAATCCACGCAGACACAGGGAGAACGTGCAAACTCCACACAGACAGTCGTCGGAGGACGGAATCGAACCCAGGTCCCTGGCGCTGCAAGGCAGCAGTGCTAACCACTGTGCCACCATGCCACCCTAGAATGAACCCCTTAAGAGCCCAGAGTGTGGTCAATTGATGTTTTTAGGTGTGATTCAAAATACTGTTACATCATGAACTGTCCCGAACCAACTGATGGGGGTTTAACCTGGCGGTCGCCACACCTCCGGTAAGGGGAGAGGTTGAGAAGACAAGTTCTTCATGGTAATGTCAGCTGGTATGGGAATTGAACCATGCTGTTGGCATCACTCTGCATTGCAAACCAGCCTTTCATCCAACTGCGCTAAGCAACAGTGTTGGAATCTCTGTCCCCCAGAATATAACCTAGGTCTCTGGATTACTAGTCCAGTGACATTAATACTACACCACTACTCCTCAATTCTGGGCTCCCACACTTTTGGAAGGATTTTGAAGCCTGAGAGAGGGAATGGAGGAAATCTATTAGAACAGGACCAGGGCTGAGAGACAGTTAAGTGGGAGTGTTGACCAATGCTACAGTGAAATATATTTTCAAGTTCTAAGAACAAGTTGATTTGGTTTTAATGTAGCTACGCTTGGTGCCTGCGAGGGATACTGCTGAGCTTCCTTCTTGTTCCTAACAGTGCCCCACGCAGACACTCTGTGTTATTACAGTGCTTTGGCCTGGTTACCTAATGTCTTGGCTTCCTGGACACATAGACAGTTGCAATAATCCACAGTTTGGATGCCACAATTTTATGTCACATGGAGAAATTGTTGGGAGTAAAATGTGGCTCATCCAGAACTACTTGCATTGATATGGCACCTGATAATGCAGCATGATGTCCAAAGGTGCTGTAAATAAAGGGAAGCATAGGTGTAGTGATGTCACTTGATCCTCTGGGGACATGGCAGATGATGAAAATTGAATTCAGAAAATGGAAAATCTGGTCAAAAATCCATCTGTGTCACTAATGTCCTTTAGGGAAGGAAATTGTCATTCTTACATGGTCTAGCCCAGATGAGACTCCAGACCCATTGCAATGTGGTTGACTCTTAACTGCACTCTGAAATGGCCTGGCGAGACAATTAGTTGTATCTAAACACCACAAATGTTCAATAAAAGCAATGGGACTAAACTGACCACCATGCATCAACCAAGGCACTGGAAATAACAACACGGCCTTGTCAACCCTGCATAAAGAACATATACAACATAAATAACACTGAACCCATTTCAACAGCCATTCTCTGGTTTATTTCTAAGGGCATGCCTCGACCAATGAAAGTCAAGCTGCCTTGTTTAAAATTTAAACAAAGATTGGAACTTAACTGGCAATCATCATTAACTAGTGCGACATCTCAAAGTAATATCCTTACCAACCAGAGTCCACTTTACCAACCAATCAGCACTCACCACTTATACAACATATTGTTTTCCAATTACATTGGTTTTCTTGAAATTTGTCCTGATGAGCACTAGACAAAAAGCTTTAAGTATATTTTTCAGCAAAGCTCACATTCTGTTCTACCAAACAGCTATTTGAGTAACCTGCTCAGTGATCCTCAGTTTGGGTTCTGTCAGAGGCACACACCTCATTTTTAGCCTTAGCTGAAACATGGACATTGGAGCTAAAATTTAGATGAGGTGACAGTGACTCTCCTTCACATCAAGGTAGCATTTGACTGAGTGTGGCATCAAGGAACCCTAGAAAAACTGGAGTCAATGGGAAAATTTTTTGCTGGCTGTATTCATGCTTGGCATGAAGGAAGATGGTTGTGGTTATTTGGAGGTCAGTAATCTCAACTCCAGGGCATCTCTGCAGAAGTTCCTCAGGGTAGTGTCCTACACCCAACCATCTTCAGTCACTTCATCAATGCCTTTCCTCCATCATAAGGTCAGAAGTGGGGATGTTCACGTATGATTGCTGGTAACTGGCAAGTAACGTGTGCGCTATGCAAGTGCCAGGCAATGACTGGTTAGCTTAGTTGGCAGGATGGCTGGTTTGCAATGCAGAGTGATGCCAACAGAGTGGATTCAATTCCTGCACTGACTGAGGTTACCATGAATGTACGCTTTTTCAATCTTGTCCCTCGCCTGAGGCATGGTGACCCTCAGGGTAAAATCACCACCAGTCATTTCTCTTTAAATGTACTTGCCTAACAAGAAACATTCTAGGAGATTGCAATCGGTGCTACTTGTCTATTGAACAACCCCAATGAGGCAAAATCGATGTTCCCAAGGAGCCCCAGAGTATTTTATATTCTTTACTGTTCCTTTGAACAAATCTGTGCAATAACATCCAACTGTCTGAACTAATGAGAATCAGGGAGTATCAGTTACGGTCCTACACTCTCAAATGTTACCTTGAAAATTCCCAAACATGTGAAGACTTAAAGTCTCTTAATTTTTTTTTGCTTGTAGGCACCCAGCCATGTGTATGGTGGACACGGCAGTCATGTGACTAATGTCCGTTTCACACACAATGACACCCACTTGATTTCAACAGGGGGCAAGGACACGACTGTGATGCAATGGCAAGTGATGAACAGCAGCCTCGAACGCAGCACTTCCATCTCGTCCACCTCTGTTTCCTCGCTGGAAATCCCTTCAGGAGGCAATGCTTGAAATGTTTATTGGGCAGACACTCTCTCTGTGTTATTTGCCCCTGCCCCTGCCCCTGCCCTTTCTGAAAGTCAAAGGTAATCGGACTGACAGGTTCACACTATAGATACAAGTTGAGATGAGGTGTTTCTTCATGAGGGCCATCCTGAGATTATGTAAATACTGTGCACATTTTTCTCAGTTGTCCCATTCTTTACATTCTCATCTTGCCCCTATTACTGAGCGATGATGGGAGTGGGGATAACCTTGATACTGGATCTAAATGTAAAAGAATTTTAAAAATTGACTTCTTTTGAATAGATAAGGTAGGTTGAAGTTTAGTGGGACTGTGAATGTTCAATTGTAGAATTGCTGGTAAGTGTACAAGAACACCCTGCAGTAAAATGGGAGACTTGGGATTGTTGAGTCTTTATTGATGTAAGTACGAATTGTAGATTTATTGTGCAGAAGTGGAAGAAGCTCAGTCTGAAGGCAGTGGAATTATAAAATGATGAGAAAAAGAATTTGATTGTGTGCAAGGTGGGTTTGATGTATAAACAATATTGCAGAGAATGGGAAGGTGGCTTTTTTTGTAGAGTTGGGGAGGTAAGCCTATGTCTTTGCATTTCTTATTGAACAACTCTTATTAATGTCACGTTAAGAAGCAGGGTTGAGCATGAAGATCACAGTGTCACAGTGATGGACAGGAAGGTTGATTCAATGTTGCTCCTACATGGATGAGTGCAGGTCAGCGGTCAGTTGTCAGGGGCAGAGATGAACTTTAGTAAGTAACCATGCCAATGACTCTGTATTTGTTAAGTCAACAAAATGGGGGGGAAAATCAATCTTTTGCAGATTTTGTCCTTGTGATAGTTTTCCTTTTAAAGTCTGTGAAGTAACTGGGCAAGTGGACAAGTAAGCAAGAAAGTTGCTGCTAGTCTTCTGCCACTCACTGGGTGCTATAGTTAGGGCGAGGCGAGACCAGCCCAATCCTCCCCAACTCACTGACTTTGCCATGCAGGTCATTGGCAGCTCTGTGGGGAGATTCATCTTTACATTCCAACAGTCAGTGGCACTGCAACTCTACCTGATAATGTTCCTGCATTTCGTTTTCAAAAGTGGTAGTTTTCATTTGTCTTTTATAAATGTTGTCTTCTTGGGAAGACTTGAACTTTATGGAAATTAAATAATTGGAGCCAAATATTTTCACAAGGACCAAAGCACCTTACTCACAGACTAGATGATTGTAAACAGTTTTAAACTGTACAGAAAATGTATTTTTTTCTTTGAAATAAAGCCCGAATTTAACAATCATGTTCAACTGTTTGCCAGTATTTAAAATTAGCTGCACAACAGAATTGCTGATTTGGTTTCTTTAATTTTCACTTACCTTCTAATTATTTAGCTGCAAAACCATTCCCGGTGGAAACAAGAGTACATAGAACATAGAACATTACAGCGCAGTACAGGCCCTTTGGCCCTCGATGTTGTGCCGACCTGTGAAACCAATCTGAAGCCCATCAAACCTAAACTATTCCATTATCATCCATATGTTTATCCAATGACCATTTAAATGCCCTTAAAGTTGGCGAGTCTACTACTTTTGCAGGCAGGGCATTCCATGCCCTTACTACTCTCTGAGTAAAGAACCTACCTCTGACATCTGTCCTATATCTATCACCCCTCAATTTAAAGCTATGTCCCCTCGTGCTAGCCATCACCATCCGAGGAAAAAGGCTCCCACTGTCCACCCTATCTAATCCTCTGACCATCTTGTATGTCTCTATTAAGTCATCTCTTTACCTTCTTCTCTCTAATGTACACATTCAACTTCCGTAATCCATTCCACTGTCCAATCAATTCATAGCAGAAGTTCTTCTTCCCTTATCCTGTTACCATCTCTTTTTGACCTGCACCATCATTGCTTTTGTCATTTAATTTCTCCTGCTTTCCACACAATCCACAGACCTTCCCCTGTGTTCTTATCCGTATCACCCACCACCTCCACCCCACAACACCATTACCACCACCTCCCAATCACCCTGGGCCCCACAAACACACCTTTCACAACTCTGTCAGAGATAGTAGGAATTGCTGATGCTGGAGTCTGAGATAACGAGGTGTAGAGCTGCATGAACATAGCAGGCCAAACAGCATCGGAGGAGCAGGAAAGCTGACATTTTGGGTCTGGAATTTAGTAAGTAACCATGTCAATGACTCTGTATTTGTTAAGTCAACAAAATGGGGGAAAAAATCAATCTTGCAGATTTTGTCCGTGTGATAGTTTTCCTTTTAATGCATTTCCGAAGAAGGGTCCAGACCTGAAACGTCAGTTTTCCTGCTCCCCTGATGCTGTCTGGCCTGCTGTGTTCATCCAGCTCTACACCTTGTTATTTCACAACTCTGTACTTGCCGAAAGCCTAGTTACATCTCTAAACTTTCCCACTGCAAATGAAAGGTCAACAATCTTAAATGTTAACTCTGTTTCTTTCTTCACAGATCCTGCCTGACCTGCTGAGTTTCTCCAGCACTTTCTATGTTTACTTCATACTTCTAACATCTGCAGTATTTTACCTTTGTCTCTGAGAATCATCAACCTGCCACATTTCCTTAAACTCTATACATAACTACCATTCTGGGTTCTAAAAGCTCCAATCCTGATGTCACCCTTGAACTATCTGACTCTAAATTCAAGGTTCTGTCCCCTTGTTCTAGGCTCTTCCCACCACACTCACCACTACAGCTAATAAATCACCCTGAAAAAATAATGTTATTAGCTGTTGACACCAGTAAAATACAGTGAAAAGCTTCAATTGTTGCCACAGGATCTGGGCCTACCAGAACCAGAAGCTGCTGCCAATGCCTCACCAATAACCAGGAGTCCCTGGCTCTGGGCCTACCCCAACCAGAAGCTGCCACTGCCTCACCAATAACCAGGAGTCCCAGGCTGTGTGCCTACAACATCCAAAGGTTGCTACCACCACCTCACCAACAACCAGGAGACCCTGGCTCCAGGCCTACCACAACCAGGAGGTGTCACTATTGCCTCACCGAGTACTAGGACTTTCCACTCCAGGCCTGCCACAACCAGGAGCTGCCGCCACTGCCTCGCCGATAACCAGGAATCGCCAGCTCCTGGCCTACCGCAAACAGGAGTCCCTGGTTCCGCTGCAGCTGCCACCTCATTCCAGGGCACGATGGTGCACTTAGACTGTGATCTGGGCACATACAGTTGCTTTGTGACCTACGTTGCCAAATGTTTTCAGTGATGGAACAACAAATCTTTATGTCCCCAATTTCTCTTTTGAAAATTACTAATGAATCTGCTTTGTCTGCCTTTTCAGGCAACATATCCTCCAGAATACAACAACTCACCGAGTAGGAAAAAGTTTGTTTTCCCTCTGCATTTTACGCTCCAGATTTTTCTCACTAGGATTCAGTGGGAGAGACATTTCCAGAAGTCCTGGCATGAAAGAGCCTTAGCCAAAAACATAAGTAACACAAGAGTGAGGAGCTTCACATAGCAGATATATGCAGTATTACATGAATGCATAAAAATATGTATATAGAATCTGTTATTAGCTCAGTTCTTCAAAGAGCTGTACAGGGGGTTCTGTTATAATGCGATAGTTGCATTCGTACAAAATCGCGCTGTAGAAATAACAGGGCCTATGGGAAAAGCAGGGTTGGGGCAAACCACCAAAAAAAATCACTCATAATTGCTCAAAAATCACTCAAAAGCCTAACACAAAGGACAGCACAGTTTGAATAAATGTTTAATTCATATCTAATAATGAAATAGAAGTAAATTTAACACATTATCTTGAAAAAATGTCAAGATGACTTGGTGGGGGAGAAGGTTTTGAGGTTGCTCTGTTGTTAATGCAGGGGCTGAGGGTCATCATCATCAACATCACCTTCAGATGCAGAGATAACAAGGTGTAGAGCTGGATGAACACAGCAGGCCAAGCAGCATCAGAGGAGCAGGAAGGCTGAGGTTTCGGGCCTAGACCCTTCTTCAGAAAAATCCCTTCACCTTCAGATGCAGTTGTGGTTGCAGGGTTAGGGTGAAAAATAGTTAATCCAGAAGTGTATGGCTGTGGTGCATTGTCTTCTGACTGTTTCTTGGGGGTTGGCTTAAAAAAGACATCCAGTTTTTGCTGCTTTGCCCTTTTCCTTTTTTCAAGAAGAAGCTGTTCATAAGGTGCCAAATAAGATCTTATTCCATGAACTGCTACCTTGCTACATTCTGCATTGTAATCGGTGTCCTTTAAGAGCTGCAGCTACCTCTCAATTTCCCTCAGGATAGAAGACAGAAGTGGAAAACTCTCATGGTACTGCATCCTGGACGACTACTTTTTCATCTCCAGCTTCCACTTCCCCCCCCTCAGCGACAAGTAGATTAGCTGTAGACGAGTCTTCACAGTGGGATTCAAGCAGGTCTTCAACATCTTCACTCTCCACTTCTTCAAATCCAAATTGCTTTGCAAGATCAACACAATGTACTTTGATTGTTGGGAACTCCTCTGATGGATCATAGGTTTTAAAATCTTCTAAAAAATCTGGGAGAAGCTTCTGCCAAACTGCATGCAAGCAATCCTTACTGACGTCACCCCAGCTTTCACGAAAATGTCAATTGCATTCTTGGTATTAAAGCTCTTCCAAAATTGAAGAACACTGTCCTTATCCCCCTCAGTGGCTGCAATAAACCTCTTAAATGTGCACCTTAAATAATAAGCTTTAAGAGCTGCTATTGCACCCTGGTCCATGGGTGGAAGGAGAGTGGTTGTGTTTGGGGATAGAAATAGTACTTTGATGTTTTCAGAAAGCTCACCAATGGTGGGAGGATGGCTTGGCGCATTATCCAGGATGAGGAGAATCTTGAAATCCAAAATTATTTTTCCTGCAATAATTTCTAAAAACATCTTCCAAAACATCAACAATAAGGATTAGCAAATGCAATTCAATGCAGATAAATGTGAGGTATTGCACTTTAGAAAGTCAAACCAAGGTAGGACTTGTACAGTAATTGGTAAGGTCCTAAGGAGTGTAGTGGAACAGAAGGACCTAAGAATACAAGTACACAGTTCATTGAAAGCAGCATCACAAGTGGACAGGGTGGTGAAGAAGGCATTTAGCATGCTGGCCTTCATCGGTCAAGGCATTGAGTATAGGAGTTGGGACATTATACAACTGTAACATAAGTTGTTGGTGAGGCCACACTTGGAGTGTTGTGTACAGTTTGGTCACCCTTTATTGGAAAGACATAGTTAAATTGGAAAGTATGCAAAGAAGATTTAAAAGGATGTTGTCAGCACTAGTTGGCCTGAGTTATAGGGAGCGGTTGGCCAGGATAGGACTTTATTCCTTGGAACGCAAGCGAATGAGGGGTGACCTTATTGAGCTGTATAAAATCATGAGGGGAATAGATAGGATGAATGCACATAGTCTTTTTCCCAGGGATGGGGAATTGAAAACTAGAGGGCATAGGTTTAAGGTGAGAGGGGATAGATTTAAGAAGGACCTGAGGGGCAACTTTTTCAAGCAGAGGGTGGTGCCAGAGAAAGTGGTTAAGGCGGTTACAACAGCAACATTTAAAAAACATTTGGATAGGTACATGGATGGGAAGGGTTTAGAGGGATATGGACCAAATGCGGGCAATTGGAACTAGCTGAGTGGGCACCACAGTCAGCATGGATCAATTGGGCCGAAGGGCCTGTTTCCATACTGTACTACCCTATGACTCTTAAGGTAACCGATGGAATTGTGTCATAGCCAACACATGTGCGTGTTATTATTCAGATAGGCAGCTGATTCATCCATAAAGGACACTGTGGCCAACCCCAAGCTATCTTCTACATAGTTGCTATTCCAGGAAGGGAATGAGAATAGGAGTGAAGAAGAGACAGAACCCCAGTAATCTCTATCTGTACACCACCTTTCAGTTTGGATGAAATGTGCTGATTTTTCAGCACAGTTCAAATTAGCTTGCCTCAGTTAAAGTCAAATAATAGAATGACAAGGGCAATTAACAGAAGTTTGAAATGTACCAGATAAAGACCTGTTACTGATGTAATTTGTTATCTTATACTAGATTCCAGTGTCAATTGATACAGTCAAAGACAGCAACTTATGTCTGTATTCGTAACGTAAAAGGGGGCAAAGCTCTGGAAATCTGAAAACTGTGACAGCTGTTCCTAAGTGGCATGATCGCAGTTTATACGGACCACTTTCTGGATCAGAATAATGGCTAATGTAGCACAAGTTGACATTTTGGCACAGATATAGTACCTACTCTCTCTCTGGAGTCAGAA